GAGATTTTATGGGGATCACGTCTCTCAAGGGAAATCAAGGCAGGCAGTTAGAGGCAGGCATTGGGTCTCTGCATTCCTGCATGTCCCACAGAATGCACAGCCCAAAAGACCTCCCTTCTCCACCCAAAACTTCTCTTTTCTTCTAATAAACTCCTTTTCTAAAGAGATGAGATCAATCAGGTGGTCCCACACCCAGAGAAGAACAGCCCATTCTAGAGGAAAAAGGGATAAAACTCCAAGTCCTGGCCAGTCAGTGCCTTTTGAGCATTTTGAGCCTTGCCTGTGCTTGGGGCCGGCTTCAAACTCTTTGGAGTGAACTTTTTCTCCTACTAACGACTCCCTGGCCCTGGGCCTGGGCCCCCTTGAGCCTTTTGAGCTTCCTTTGCTCTGCTGCCCCAAACTCTTTGGAGTGTACTTTCTCTTCTAATAATGGCCCTTGAGCCATTCTCTAATTTTTGTCCCGCTTCTGCTTCTTTGAAATGTATTTTTACTTCTAATAAACTTTTCTGCAAGTTTACCTCTCTGGTCCATGTCTCCATTCTTTGGTTCCACGAGACCACAACCCCGGCACAAGAAATATCCTACATCAATATCTGTCTTGGTCGGGCTGTACTGGAAGCTTCGCTGGAACATAGCTCATACCTCAATGGCCCCTAGATGAGAAGAGACAGATGTTAGTTAATAAATTACAGGCGCTGGCTCCAGGAACAGGACTTTGAAGTCCATTTATCTTATTCCACCCAGGGGTTAGGTCTGGGATGGCCTGGAGGAGTGTTGGGGTACAATGATTATATTGGGTTGTCGGAAAAGTCATGACGCATTTTTGCAATTAAAAACAGTAAAATGCGTCATGACTTTTCCGACAGCCCAATAGTTAACAAGTTTAAGTCATAGACTTTTAAGTAGTTATTTGAAGCAGGGGTGAGAGACATTCTGTGATTTAGGCTAGGAGAAATCTTTAGTTTAGGATTAAGAAACTGGAAGAATGATTAAGACCAGGGGCTAAGGAGTTAAGAAACTAGGGAAAAAGGAGATGCAAAATTCCTATAATGAGGGGGCTTAAAACTTATAGAGTAAGGGGGCTCTCCTGTATCAGTCGGATCCTATCCCTTTGTGTTTGCCAGTTGGTTACCGTGCAAAAGGTTTGGCTGCTTGCTTCATGAAAGCCAAAACTCGAGAGGCAAGGTTGGTGGAAAGAAAAGCAGGTTTATTCCAAAATGCCAGGATTACGGGAAGACAGTGGACTCTCTGTCACAAAATCTGCCTTCCCTTTCCTAATCCACATTCATTTCTTATGTCCTCACTAAACATGACCTCTGCTCCTAATTCTCTGCTGGGTCCATGGTTCACGGAATTTTGCTTTTTCTTTAATGTGGCCTGAATGTTTTTGGTTTTAAATATTAAGATAAAGTGACACTTACTGAAAAGTTTTCTTTTTTGCTTTTGTTGATATTAATGTGCCGTGATTCATTACACTCTCGGTTTCAATAACAGATAAACAAGAATTCCATTTCAGTTATGTTTAGTTCTGGGTTTTCCAAATCAATACCAAAGAGAAAGACAAAAGGGTCAATAGTACAAAAGGAACCATTATGCAATGTTTGCTTGTTTCTATTCAAGCGTGAAAAATATGGGAATTCAGAAGAAATGGAACTTAGAAATGGAATGTTTTATAATACAAATATAAGGCATTTTAATGTTTTCTTTTTTTTATTAGCCATTAAAATAAGTGTTGGGCTCATGGGCCTAGGGTCTTCACAAAGCTGGGAAGAAGCTGATGGAAATAGCAGCCTCCCTTCAAGCCTTGGGGCCCAGTCCTGCCTGCTTCCATTCAGTTCCTTGAACACACTGTTTCCTCCTTTCATTTGTCTGTGGCACAAGCTGTTCCATTAGGCTGAAATACTCAATTTTCTTTCTGGAGTTCAGCTCAGATTATTGCGGGGAACCCAGACAAAGAGACAGGACACCAAGGCGTGGGAAGCAACCTTTATTAATGCCGGCACTGGCTCAGCGGATTCACATCCAGAGGCTGAGCCCCCACTCAGGTGGGATTTGGGGTTAGATACCCTGAGGTTTCCAGGTTGGCAGCTAAGATTTATTATTAGGACATGNAGAAAAAAAAGTTATAAGACCTCCACTTTTGCCAAGTTTCTGAACATAGAGTTGGTATCTAATCCACACCCATGCCAAACTTTTTGGGTTTTGCAGCCATCATGATGCTTCTAACCCTAGACAGGCCCATCAGCTGTTATGCTGTCTTTTTTGTGGTGGAAGATGCAGTCGTTTATCTTTTACTTTACATGGACTATCCCAACATACTTTTGACCATTGTGCTTGTAAAATTTTACTGAGATAGCAAGGCCTTGAATGTAGTTTGTCCTCTCCCCACGAAGTACATTGTCCTGCCAACACCTTCGTGTTAGTTTCTTCCTGCTCATCCAGTCCCATTAGCGTGCTATCAATAAAGAGGACCCATATGATGTGCTTCAGTACATTCATATATATGGTCCTGATCTCAAGCTGGAACAGTTTATGTAGCTCTGGAGCAAGACTGAGTTTATATCATAAAAGCTTGCACGTAGGGGCCTTGTCCCATTTTCTTGACCTTTGACAAAACAATGCCAACTGAAAAACAGTATAATAGTTCAAAGACCCATTAAGGGGCCATTTCTCTTCAAACTCTAATACATACATAGGCCAAACTGTATTACAGTAAAACACCATTTTCTTTCTGGTCGTTGGTTTATAAGTTGACCAGTCAACCAATATATGATGCAGAGCACTCTCAGATGGTATAGACACAGAGCCTCTCACTTTCCATAAGACACAACAAAGGAAAAGGAGGGTAAAACAAACCACAAACAAACAAACAAACAAACAAACAAACAAACAAACAAATTACATATAGACAAAACAAAGCCAAACTCACAAACCAAATTCTCAACAGTGAGGAGCTGGGGGTCAGCACCTGGTCTCCCACCAAAGCCGGCACCACAAATGGGCCTCAACTGAGGACCCCAAATGGCATCAATGCCCCATCGGGAGACAGGGGAACCTGGTCTCCCACCAAAACTGGTACCGCAAATGGGTCTCGAAAGACCCCAAGTGGCATAAAAGCCCCAAATCGTTATCGCAAATTGAGGCCTATACTAACCCTCAGTTTCTAGAACCAGATCACTGTTTGCTTTCCTCTGCCTTAAGTGTTTATAGGTGGTCAACGCCGGGAAGGGGAAAGCCAGGAAAAATCCCCGTGAAAAAAACCAAATCTTGACAGCTGCTGTGATGTCCCTGCAGTCACACCCCCCCACCCCCGGCAACAGCCCGCCACAAGCAGCTATGGATGGGACTGGTTGCAGTACACCATCCCAGCTTCTTCCCTGGGGAGAGAGGGAGTAAACTCACCAGCTCCGGGTCTGGTCATGTTATTACCAGAGGGGGGTACCCTTTTTGGTGTGATGCCTGGGCTTGGTTTCCACACCAGGAGTCAAACCCACTGGTGTCTGGGCTAGGTTCCCATACCGGGAGTTGAACCAAGGTCTCGGGGAGGAAAACTGGGAATCCTACCTGCTACGTTCCTGGCGGTTGGGCCCTCCTCAGCGTGGTGTCCAGGTTCTTGGCATCTAGAGCAAAGAATTGAATGAGATAAAGTGGTGAAAGAGAAGTTTATTAGAAGAGATAGTACACTCCAAAGAGTTAGCAGCAGGCCCAAACAAAAGAAGTGGCTCAAAAGGCTGCAGCTCAAAGGCTCAAAAGGCCATGACTCAAAGGCTGAAAGGCTCCCTGGAGCCTGGGGGTTTTACCTTTTTTCCTCCAGGCTGGGCTGTTCCTCTTTGGGTGGGGACCACTTGATTGACACCTGTGATTGATAAGAGGCTATTACCTCATCTTCTTAAACTTTGCATGTCCCTTCCCAGAGTTCAGTGTGTTATTGCGGGAGACCGGCTCCCACAGGTCCAGGGGTTCCCTCAGGTGGAGGCGGAGTCAGCGAGGAAAAAGGAATTCCATTAGTATTAGGGTTTTACTTCCTCATAATTCTTATGCTCCAGGGTACAGCTATACCTTTTCTATGCTAAAGACTAACTTATCCCAACTACGCCCAAATCCCTCCACCTACAATAACNCTGTTGTTCAGCATCTTAGCTGTGGAGGGCAGTGTCACTGGCCCTCATATGTGGGATCCAAACCGGGGCCCTCTGGCGTCCCAAGCCAGTTTTTAACCATTGTGTCACTGGGCCAGCCCAACCCTAATTGATTTTTTTGACTTGTAATGTCTTTTTATATGAAGGAAGTTAACGCTTTGTCTATCATCCCTGGCAAATACTTTTTCCAAGTTTGTTCTTGTGAAACAAGGACCCCTCCTGTAAAAGCCCAGCTAAAAGCCCCAAGCCCAGCAGTTTCCGTTCCTGTTTTTAACAGATTTCTGCCCCCACCCCATTCCTGTTCTCACTTCTGCCCAGCAACAATAACCACATGTACCCAGCAATAGCTTAAATATTCTCCCAATAGTTGTATACTTATAACTAGATATTTACATAACCCTGCTGTTTTAGCTTCTGTAATAATGCTTTGCTTAGACTGGACACCTGTCTTAAGGACCCCAGCTTACTAGTAGAGAGGGGCTGTACTAGCTTACTAGTACTGAGGGACCCAGTCGTATGGACTTGCAGTTTCAACATACATCATCCCCCTGGGACTTCCCATAATGGACTTGTTAACAGTTTCTGTTTGCCTCAGTGGGACTTTTTACTTTGGTTTTTGCCTTTATAAACCCTGCCTAACTAACCATCGGGGCTGTGAAGTCTTTAGGGCAATAGGCCCCTTGCAGCTGCTGGCTTTGCTATAAAGACTCCTGATTTGGCATTATTAGTTTCGTTGTCTGCCTGACTCAAGAGCTTTGCTTTACAACACTTGTACTTTAACTTTGTTTATAGTACTTTTTTTCTCTGCAGTTTTAAAATTTTATGAATTCAGATTTATCAACCTTTCCCTTTATATTGGGTTGTCGGAAAAGTCATGACGCATTTTTGCAACAAAAAACAGAAAAAATACATCATGACTTTTCCAACAACCCTGGTAGCTTCTTTCTCACTCTAAGATTTTTAAAAATCCAGTGGATGACTGGTTAGCTCAGCTGGTTAGAGCATGGTACTGATAACACCATGGTTGCCAACTCGATCCCCGCATGGGCCGCTGTGAGCTGCGCCCTCCCTAAGAGAGTCAACTATGCCATTGTAGCATGAAAGCAATGTGTAACCAATGACCGTGGCTGTTCCCCAATAAAATTTTTAAAAAAGAAAAAAAAATTAAACAGTGTCTCTTCTCTAGTAGTTTTCTTTTTTACATCAGAGTGTGTGTTTGATCCACCTGAAATTGATAGGACTGCCCTTGGTGATAGTGGTCGTGACCAACCAGTCCTCCCCCCCCCCCCCCCCCACTGGCCACTTACCGGCCTCAGCACCCTGCACGCCTCCCGAAGAACCTGCTCCTGGTTCTGCACGGAGCACAGGACCAGGGTGCAGACCACCACATCCATGGAGCCATCGGCCACCGGGCGCATATTCTCCCCGGCAGCCACCACGAAGCGCTCAAACTGCAGGTGTCGGTTTTCCGCAATGCTCTTGATCAAGAACTTCTCAAAGTTGGGGTTGGGGTCAACACAGGTGACCCTGCATCCAGGAGGATAGAACTTGAAGTTGGTCCCGGTGCCACAGCCTACCTCCAGCAGGGAGAGCTTGCCCGAGGGGCCCTGGAACTCCAGCAGGTTGCTGAAGAGCTTCTGCTTCTGGCCTGCCATCTGTTTATTGTACGTCACGCTGAACCTCACCAAGAAGTAGGGGAACCATTTTTTGCTTATCCAGTTCCACAAGCCCAGAAAGTTCAGCAGAAACACGGGAAATGCCAGGATGCAGACGGCCAGCCGGAGGATAAATACGGTCAATGCCATTACCCAGGAATGGAAAAAAACAGATCGGTTCAGAGTCCTGACTCCTTTAAATGCAGATAGTAGGCTTCTGGCCACACTCCAGCGCCAATCAGCTTCATAGGAAAGAGCTGGATGTGCTGGAGAAGAAAGCTGCTGCTGAGCTCAAATCGTGGCCAAGAAGCCATTTCACCCAATTAACAGACACTCGGCAAATGTTGACTCTTAGCTTAGTTTTCATGAAGCAAAATGAGAAGACTCCCAGCTTTCTCTTAGAAGGAAAGTTGATTACAATCCCTTATTCTGAATCTGTTTCTGCTCCTCTTTCTCTGGGTCTGGAGACTACTGCTAGTTCCCAGCTGCAGTTTTATAAGCACTTAAACTGTTTCCGGGTCCTCCAGTGACCTCTACAAAGAAAACAATCCGTGGGGGGTGCAGCCTGGTTAAACTATAGGGGACTATGGCTGCCAAGTCCCCTTTATTACAATGTCCCCTCCTCCCTTTCCCCCTGGGTCCCCCCCCCTCCCCTGCCCACCCCACTTTTTAAAAAGGAAAGTGAAACGACATGCCTGCCTTGTCTCAGTTAACAAGAATCCCTCCTTTTGCATTCTGGGCTGAGACTCTCAGACTTGCATTACTCAGCAGGGTTTTTTTTAACTCACTGTTTTGGGCTGCCCATTTTTTAAACGGCAAGAGTTTCAACTTCAAAGTGTGCACAACTACTACTTTATTCAGCTAATTTAGATAAAAACAGCCAGAATATTCACCTTTGGGAGCCTCAAGTATTCAGAAAATAGTTTCAAACATTGATCTGTTTTTAACCAGAAAGCCTGAGCTTTAGGGTAGTCAGGGAAATTTTCAAAAATAATGGTTACATTTACTTTTTAAAAAAAATTTGTTTCAGGTGTATGAAACAATGTAATAGTTAGACATTTACACCCCTCACAAATAACAATTTACTTTTTAAAACTGGGTAATGGATATTCTGTTTCATTATTTGTTATGCCCTACACATATTTGATAAATTTTATATGTATTCCATTTTAACAGCTTTTTTTGAGGTGGAACTGATATAAAATAAACTGTACATAAAATGTGCAGTTTAAAAAGTTTTGACAGGGGCATCCCAGTTTCGGGTACCCCCTCTCGTAAGAGAGCTGTACTTTCCCTTCAATAAAAATCTTTGCTCCTCTACCTCTCCTTCCATCCACGTTCTCATTCTTCAGGTACATGAGACTATGATCTCCGGGCACTAGACACCAGGGTCCTATATCAATTCTGTGGAAGGGAACACAAAGGCTCATGAGGGCGAGGTCCTTGATATGAGAGAGCCAGAAAGACTCCAGGTACTTCGATTCTGGCTCAGAGCCCTTTGCACAGCAACATGTTGCCTATAGAAGGATGAGGATAATATTCCCAATTCAAACATACTCTGCCTTCTTCCACCAGTAACAGGGCTGAGTTTTCTCTGATTCAATGCAAATACCTAGTCAATTTCAGGGCTAATGGCAAAATGTCAGGTTGACATAAAAAATATAAAAATTAAAAAAATTAAAATTAAACCCAAAAACTTTTGACATATGTACATACCTGTGAAACCATCACTTCAATCAAGATAATGAACATATTCATTACCCCCAAAATTTACCTCGTGTTTTTTTGTGTTCCCCCCCTTTGCCCTCCCCATCCCAAGGAAACCACTGATATGTTTTTTGTCTCTAGAGATTTGTTTGCGTTTCCTAAATTTTTTTTTTTTTAAAATTGGGGAATTGGGGGATGGGAACAGCCCTGGGGAATTGGGGGAAGGGGAACAGACAAGTTGCTGTCCTTTTATTCTTCAGTCTAGTTGTGGAGGACATTGCTTTACTGGACCATGTTGGTATTATCATTGTGCTCTTCCCTGGTGAGGCAGATCACTCGCCGGCCATTGGACGGCCACTCACAGCGGCTCATGGCAGCTCACGTTTCCTGCTGTCTGCTAATGCCGGCTGCTAGCCACTCACGGTAGCTTTACAGCAGCCCACTGCAGCTTCACTGCAGCCTGCCTACGCCATCAAGGAGCTGTGCTGCGATTCACCGCAGCACAGCTCCAGGTCAAGCTGTTGTTCACCATCTTAGCTGTAGAGGGCGCAGTGTCACTGGCCCCAATGTGGAATTCAAACCAGCGCCCTGCTGCTCAGAGCTGGCATCCCACGCCAGCTCTTAACCAACGCGCCACTAGGCTGCCCCAACTTTTCAACGTTTTATAGGATTGACATTTTTCAAAATAGCTGGGGTAGAATAATGCTTCAGAAGAGTTTGTAAAAATACTCATTATAAGTGAAATATCAGGATTTATGGTGCTTTCTTTGCATAGTAGGGCTATGGATGATTTTCCTTCTACTTATTTTCTGTACTTTCTCAATTTTAAAAAACTGAGAGTGTAATACTTTGGGAATTAGAAAAATAAAATAAATTTGTTTTAAAATAATATAGGTTTAAATTTGAGTTTATAAGTAAAAAAGAGTCTTTTGTTCCAGTAAGTTTTTCAGATGAAAATAATCAGATGTTTGTCCAGTAGCATTGTGATTTATATAATGAAAAGGGTCGTATGAATCATAGATCGGGTAATAATAGTAGTAACCAGTTACTGAGCACGTTCAATATATTAAGGACTTCATATAATAAAATTATTTAATAATTACAACAGTACTGTAAGTAGGTATTAATAATTGTTCAAACTTTTTATTATTAGTTTCAGGTGTACAAAACAATGCACTAGTTATCCTTTTCACCCCTTACAAAGTGACAACCCTCCTCCCCCATCCACTGCCCCCCATCCCCAATATCATACTTATCTATTACAATTCCATTGACTCCATTCCCACACTATATTCCACATCCCATGACTATGTATGTATTAAATTATAGTTGACATATAATATTAATCAACAGCAGCTCTTGTAACTACTAAGTAACAGAATGAAATTGGAAATATAGTCTGTCTTAGATTAGAACCTCTATACTTTAAGTCTCTTGTGGAGAGAAATGTTATATGACTGAAGTAAGTGAAATAAGCTGAGCAAAAAGATAAAAAGGTGGTGGTAGTAGCTCCTGCCTGATTAGAAACTCAGACCTAAAGAGCAATTAGGACATAACCTTTTAAGTGAGTGTGCCCTTCAATTCTGTCAAACATTTTAAGAGGTTTTTTTGTGTGTTTTTGTTGTTTTTTTTTAGCTGAGCCATCCTGCCACCTGTTGGCAGTTCAGCAGCAGCTCACCTCAGGCAGCCAATCGAACCGCTGACCTTGTTGCTCAGAGCTCACACCCTGAGTGAGCTCTTAACCAACTGAGCCACTCAGCAGGCCCTAGAAGAGTTTCTTAGTAGAGATGGTCCCCAACTTGTGATGATTCGACTTACGGTTTTCTGACTTTACAATGGTGTGAAAGCAGTATGCATTCAGTAGAAACTGTAGTTTGAATTTTGATCTTTTCGTGGGCTAGTGATGTGTGGTACAATACTGTTTTGTGATGCTGGGCAGTGACAGTGAGTCATAGCTCCCAGTCACCCACGCGGTCAGGAGGCTCTACGGTATCCTGTGTTGCCAGTGTTTGGATATTGTGTTTTTGAATCCCATTGTGTCTACAAAATGCCCATCAGGTTCTCCTGCTTCTGGTGAAAAGAGGAGGAAGGCAATTACAAGTGCTCCTTGGCTTACAATGGGTTTACCGGGAGGTAACCCCACCATAAGTTGAGGAGCATCTGTATTAATAGTCTGAGCTCTCAAGTGAATCTGAATGACACTTAGGTAATATAAATAGGATAAGACTTAATGCATTATGCGGATTGCTACACAAGCACTACCAACTAATTCCATTTAAGACCTTGCCAAAGGATAATCCAGGACCTCTTTTAAGAAGTATAGTATCCCCTCAGTGTTGCTCACAGGTCCATAAAAATCAGCTTTCTACCCCTTGAGTGTTAAACCAGTAATGATTCCTAATGGAATTAATAGGTGGAAAACTCATGCTTACTTTCAATTAAATTCTGAAATTAGGATAAAGCAAAGCAAAGCAAAGCAAAACAACAAACAACACGTGGTTTTAGCTGGTTGTATTTAGAAAAGGATGAGACAATAAGTATTTCTCTTTTACTACATGAGTTCTCCAAAGTTCAAGGGAAATGTCAGTTGGTTAATAATAGATACTAATTCAGTGAACTTTTCCTTTTGTTTTGATAATTCACTTTATAGATTAATCATCATAAAGTTTATCCCAGGTTGGCGTCCCTCTTTTACCCAGATTGCTTTTCAGTCACTTCTCCCCACAGTTAATTCAGAGAGCCTACGGAATACAAACTTTTAGCATGGGCTTCAGGAAAATAAGGTTCAGAAAGTAGATTATAATGCTGCTGCTGCTGCTGCAAAAAAAAAGTCATTATACATTTCTAAATAAAAAGTAAATTACTTTGGGGTGTCTACACCATAGTTCTCTCTTGGTATAGGAAAGGAAGTATTAATATTAAATAGTTTTAATTAGAATATAAATAATAGGAAAATACTTATTTCTCCAAATATCCTTTGAGAACCAGAAATAAGATGATAATTAAAATACATATATATCATATAAATGTTTTTAAATAGAATAAAATCTGACTTAATAGGAAAGAGTTCTGATTAATAAAACAACACTTCTGTTCTAATTATAAACTCTTTATTATTTTGCATTTACATACATAAAGTATATATTTAAACTAAATATTTTATATAAACTCTAGGAAAGTATTCCAAATGAAAAATTATGATTATAAAGTAAAACAATCAACATACATCAAGGATGCTTGTGAGTCAGTGCCAAATTTACAATCACATATCTACTGTGTCACAATCTTTTTATTCCAAAAAATGTTCACATAAGAACTCTAAAGTAGGCAATTACTTGCCCAAAGAATAAATGATTTTCATTACACAGAACATGAAAAGGGACGTGATGAAAAATAAAGATTGCTTAGAACTTCTTTACGGAGTAGTTAGTAAGACAACAGAACCTAAGGCTACGAGGACCTGTCCAAGTAGAATATATATATTAAATATGCCTTTATTGCTTTTGTGGTAGAGGTGATCTGTCAGCCACTTTTTGTAGAAGGACGGCCCACTATAGACACCAGGAAAATTTTTCCGACCACAGCCATATCCGTAACTGGTAATTCCCATTACAAAAAATCGTTTATGTTCTGGTAAGTAGCACATTAATGGTCCACCACTATCACCCTATTAAAAAAGTCCCAAAATAGTATTAGTTATTTCTAGTAGTCTTTATATAATAGTAAAGGCTGGACTAAATTAATCACACTAAACATACATTTATATAAATACACATTTTCCATATACCTCTAAATTATTTAAGATCAATAGATTTTTAGTTTTATGTTCCGACTCAAACAGGAATTCGGTTATATGCAGTCTGGCCTGGTATTTAAAGGAAACATATAGCTGGTGGATAAACTTACCATCTGCCTAGTTTTGAACCAGAATACTATAAATCCAATTGTTTGGATTTTTTAGTGCATTTACTCAGGAGAAATATAATGTCAGATGTGTGCAAAATATTATAAATACTGTCTATTAGAATACTTCTGCTTAATGCTGTTTGTGAAAGGTATAACTTGAAGATATATGAATGAATCTTTTAGGTGTGTGTGTGGTTTGTTAGCTAGAGAGAGGAGTAAACTGACATCTTGCAAGAAATGGCATCTAAGTGTTGACATTGGCTAGTGCAGGATATCAAGAATAAATGACTAAGACTCTCTATAGTATTACAAACACATCTCCCTCATAGTTTATACACAATTGTCAGTGTATTAACCAAAACACTATTACTAAGGACTGTTAATCACGCAAAACAACAAGAACACTGAGCTGTTACAGTGCCTATGTTTCTAAGATGTTTTCAAATTCTCCATATAAGGTAGGCATTGAAAAATTATTTCTTATGAATGCAATTCAATTAGATTGGATTCTTTACTATTTTACTCAGCAAGATTTTTAAGGAAAAGGACACAGGAAAGATAAACTCTGGATTACAAAAATCAGAATGAGTAGGAAAAGATCAGAGCATGGATATTGCTTGGAAGTGAAATGCTGGTGGATTTAGGAGTAGTAAAGAAAAGAAGAATAAAGAAAGGTTTAAAACAAAAAATATATAAATTGGACTTTATAAAACAATCAACTTTTGTGCTACAAATGATAACATTAGGAAAGTGAAAAGACATCAACAGAATGGGAGAACATATTTGCTAACCATATGCATGGTAAAGGACTTGTATCCAGAATATATAAAGAATGCTTATGACTCAATAATAAGATAAACTCAATTTAAAAATGGGCAAAGGGTCCGAATAGACATTTCTCCAAAAAGATACATAAATGGCTAATAAGCTCATGCAAAGATGCTCAACATTATTAGTCATTAGGGAACTGCAATATAAAACTACAGTGAGATACCACTTCACCCTCAGAAGGATGGCTATAATAAAAAAGACAGACAATACAACGATATGGATGGACCTAGAGACTATTATGTTAAGTGAAATAACTCAGTCGAAGAAAGACAAATACCATATGATCTAACTTATATGTGGAATCTAAAAAACTGAATGAACAAGCAAAATAAACAGAAATAGTCTCAGAGATTTAGAGGAAAAACTGATGGTTGCTAGTTGGGAGCGGGGTGGGGATGAGGGAGAAGGGGAAGGGATTAGACAGCATAAATAGGTAACTACAATATTGCCACAGGGATATGAAAGACAGTTTGGGGAATATAATTAATAATGTTGTAAATATTTTGTAGGGTGTCAG